ACCTATTGGAGGTAAAGCAAAAAATGTACTGTATGTTGTTCAGGCAACTGGCCCATCATTATATGGTAATAAATGAAAAAGATTAGTGGAGGCAAATAGAAACTGCCATGTTTTTATCCCAGAGTAAATGTGCTATTAGTTTCATAAACTTTTGATTTAAGTTCTTTCATTAAATCTACAGTTATTTTTTTCAGCCAAAAACAGACTGTTCCTACTGACTGAATTAAAATGTTTTAAAAAGTTTTTTTCTGCAGAAAGCGATCTCTTTTGTTTCACAAGCTCATAATAACTACAAAGCACACACAGTTCCTCTTGTAACACTAGAGACTGTTAACTAATGTTTGCCACTGACTATTGACCGACTCTTTGTTCTTGATTGAATATTTCTTGTCACTGAATGAAGTAAAGCCTGCTCTAACAAGCTACTGCAACAAAAGTCCTAAGTTCTACATTTGTAAGTATTCATGCGTTTACTCATTTTATGATGAAAACAGATCAGATGGCGCTTGTGTTGAGTTGTTAGAAAAAAAAATACTTTAGCTCTGAAAGTTGTCTTGTCTGTCGCAGTCAGTCCCATTAATATGCTTTGCAGTCACGACTACAGCCCATTAAGAGCAACGACAACTGGGAGAGTTTTAATAAATCAACAAATTTGATACATTACAGTAAAAAATAAAATAATTTTAGGAAAAATAATAGCTTTTTTTTTTAATTTATTGCTGCCTTACAGGAGATATATATGTATAGCACCAATATAAACAACAATTGATAAGGCATCTTGCACCTCTGGGTCAGCTTTGTTCATAAATCTTGTTATGCATTAGCAGTACAAGTGTGCAATTAAGGTGTTATGCCTTTGAATACATTTTCAAAAAGAATTGCACCTTTGGTATAATGTGAGAGGAAAAACATGAATTATGAATAGGTCAGCAGATATTTGTCCATAGGGATTAAGTAGGTGCATTTGCACAGCGATAAAACACAGGTGAAAATAAAAAAATACACACAAATAGGATTTATCACGGAAACAACAGAAAGGAAAGATGCAAATAAGTGGTGCAGAAGAAATAAACAACACATTTAATTGACAAAGAAGAAGCTATGTTATAATAGGTATAGTAAATATTTTTATTTTCTTAATGATATTCAGTTTGGTAAAATTTATCTCAAAATCTACCCAACCACATTGCATATACTCCTCCTCTAGCCAGCCTCATGTATTAACTACTCTGCTGTTATTCTAATCAAATGATTAATTACTTCTAATCACTTTGCAGTTTTAGTTAGATTTTGTTTCCTTTATCCCTTTTGTTTCCAGCGTTTTAATTGCATGTCTATGGTTTATTGCCTTTTTTAAATGAGGTGTCAGGGTTATAAAAACTGCGCACCATAACACTTGTAGTTGATGTAGATTATCTTTAATGGTGGATTCATGAGAATGTGCAGTGAGATGGAAATTATATTTCAATCCTTTAACACTGTGCACACAATGAGCCACGAGAAAATATTACTCTTAATCACAAAACATAAATGGGCAGGTTCAGTTGTAAACTGTGATTTAGCATTTAGAGGACACACTTACTCATTAACACAGGGGCCGTCGCAGTCTGTTTTAAACTGTTAGTCAAAGTCAAAATTTAAAGTCTTTGCAAATTGCTTGGAAAATGAAATCAATAAAGGAGGCCAAAAGAGCTAAACCTACTGAGTTTGTGTTAATTATGTCTAATTTAAATGTTAAAATGAATTTGAAAGTAATCACTACTGACCACCGCTGAACAAACCTGACTACAAATACTGGAATTTGCATGAATACATTACTGGTGATTATCCACTCACCTGTTACCTCGCTCTCTGCTTTGACCAAGTCACACAATAATGTGTTTCTTTATCTGTAGGGAAAAACAAAACAGTATGATAAAGAATATGTCAATCTCTATGTATCATCAAGCAAGTATAGACTGACAGACTGCATGCAATGTAATATGTATAAAATGTATAGCACAGAACAGTCATTACGTTTCATCACTGTGAAAAAAGTAAACCAGTTATAAATATCATTTTATGAGAAGTTTTGAGCAAATTTTTGGAATTTATTTATATCACTGATGTGGTGTTTAGTTTTCCGTACATTATTTTAGTGTCTTTTATTAAAACGTGTTATTTATTTTATCACAGTTTAGCTGAATTCCTTATGGACTATTTAGTTAGAGATATGAAGGGATTTTAATTCAACAGGCATTTATTTGGCGTTAAAAAGGGCAGGTTTACTTTTTTTTAAGTGGAAGTTAGCATTTGATGATTAAATTAGTGTTATTATTATTAGGGTTACCTGCTTAGTGTTTAGTCTTCCTTTCAGTCCCGTGATCTACACTCTTAATGAGAGCCAGGCTTCAGGTGTACTAATCACAGAAGAGAATTCAAATCGCTAAATGGACTTCAGCTTTGATGTTTAAAGCACGGAAAATTACAGTGCATATACAGCTTTCTCAGGTTAAATGACAGAAATGCAGAAAGAGGTAAGCAGAGACATTGATGAGTTGCAGATAAAAGACACTGCAGTGTGCTGTTATTTCATTCAGCAATAACATACTATCAGAGGGTGAATATCTACATCCTGCGTGGTCCATTGTGCTCTTCATGAGCCAACTTCAAACGCTGAGCGGCATTATTATGATAATATGAGGACTTCTTACCTCTTTTAACTCCATATCATTCTCAGAGTCAATCAGTGTCTGTTTAGTGATGTAAAACTTCAGAGAATGGATTAAAAAAAGAAATGTATTAGTTTCTAAATAAGAAAGTGATCAAAGATTCAAGGACGATTGAGCAGGAATATAAATTATTTAACAATTGTGTCATTTGGAGACAGGTTGGTGGGCTTTCTTTATGAAGCGAGTTAGCCGTTACCTGAAAGCACATGTTAAATGGTCTTGGTGTCAGTTATGTTAACAAACTGCAGAAACAAATACCAATTTATAGCTCCATAGCCACCTATTTAGAGAGTCTTACACACCGTGTTGAGGTTTATGTTGTTTTTATTAAATGCTTTATGTACAAATACAATTACACACAAAACAAAGCACGCATTATAAATGACACACTGTATATTGCTGATTGCTTTCAACCCAAACAAAAAAATGTGTTTTGCACGATTACGATCTCACATCTTATAGAATTAAAAAAAATCACAATATAACTTAGGCTAACTTTAGTCTGTTGTATCAAGTCCATGAACTTTTAACATGAAGCCATCAGAGTTTCATATAGCAATCAGTTATGGGGATTTATTTCTGAACATTAAACATTTTCATAAGAAATGTCTGGATCATTGAGTCACTTCAGGTCTTGAATTTTGGTTTGGTTTCCATCTGTTGCCTTTAACAGAGTTTATCAGGTCACTTGTGTTCAGAGCAGCGTGTGGTTTTCTGTCTGTTATAATAATCATAATAATAATATATATAATAATAATAATAATATAATAATATTTTTTGGCAATTCCTACAGCAAGTTAAAGCCACAGTTGGAATCAAACAGGAAGTGGAGTTTCTGCAGACATGGATCTGCAGAAGCATCAAGAGACTAATTAAGCACAAAACCACCCTTGATGTATTTTTACTAAGCCAAATAATGAATACATTTATGGAGAAACAATTGTCTTGAAGCCAGTCTGTAACTCACAAGGTTAAGTTTTATTAGTCTGTAAAAGGTCCACTTAGACTAGACAGAGCCCACAGCCAGACCAATCAGTGAACGGCGGAGGAAGGTGATGGAGGTCGGAAAAAGATTTTTTTAAATTTGAAGTGGATATCACATTTTGCTCTGCGGCTCTGGCTGGTTAAAGACTCATCCTGCCTGTTAAGTCATTCTGGGTGACACACCATAAGCTAAGCCAGGCTTGTGCAGCATTTTATGAAAAATTGGGAAAAACTGTCAAAATATTAATATCTATTAAAAATGTCCAAACACACCAGAATTCATAAAAGTGGCTTCTCCCTAGAGAAATACTAGACTATTTGTGGAACTGCAAAGGGAACTAAAATGTGAGAAAAATTACATTTTGGTTGTTTTACGTGTCTTGAATATCAAAGTGGAAGAAAACTGTCATGGGAGGTCTCATGATGGTCTGACAAAAACGTCAGATTATTATTATTTTTTTGATTTCTCTGTCCTAGTCTGACAACTTCAACGATGTGTTCTTTGACGCTGACCCATAAGAGCACAGAGTATTGTACATATTATGGAGCAAAAGAGGAATGATGATGTTGGTGATGTCAGGTGGAACAGTGAAGCCATCTACATGATCAGCCATAACATTATGACCACTGACTGGAAAAATGGGCAGCGTGAGGATTTAAGCGACTTCGACAAGGGCCGAATTGTGATGGCTAGACGACAGGGTCAGAGCAT